ACCTTTGTATGATGAGTACAGAGTCAGATCTAAATGGCATCTAAAGCAAAAATCTACTAAAGTGTTCTGTCGTATGAAAAAGGTGTCAAATGTTGTTTTTTGACTGCTTTTTTAAATTAGTTTGGATTTTCAATGCAAATGTGCTGCTGAAAATCTAGTGACTATGACTGTGTTTTCTCATATTGCAACATATATATTTCACAGAAAAACTAAGTCGAGCAACGTCAGTTATTTTCAAAATCACACAGCATGGCCCAAAGGTGGACACATCTGTGTTCAAACATGGTGGTGCTGTTTCATCACGATGACCTAAACCAGGGATGTCAAATTCTGGCCCGCGGGCCAAATTTGGCCTGCTTTGTAATTATATTTGGCCCGCGAGACAATACCAAATGACTACTACAGCTGCCCCCGATATTATACTGTACAGCGCATTCACCGCTATACTACAAATCCCATAATGCCCTGTTGTTGTTTTGGCGCATCAATCAGGACAGGACCCAGAAACTCCCTCTCCTCTGTGACAGTAGGCATAGAGACTTCACACTACAACTGTCACTGTGCCATTGATGCGTTGCTTGTTCCATATTCAATGTTAAAGCAAAATTTGTTTCGGTCCATATTAAAAGGTTCATTTGCTCAATGTTGGCCCGCGACTTTGTTCAGGTCTTAAATTTTGGCCCACTGTGTTTTTGAGATTGACACCCCTGACCTAAACCTTTAAGATTTTCAGTTACATTCAGAAAACAAGATAACCTACCTAAAAGTGCAAAACATTATGCTATTTGGATAAAAGAATAAATAAACTCAGTTGGGTTAACTTGGTTTAGTTGTTGTAAACTGCATGAACGCCTTTTAGTGTGACAGTGTTTCTCAAAATCAGAATCAGTGTTTTTGCCGAGCATGTTTTAACGTACGAGAAATTTGACGTGATTTGTTTGGGAGAATTTTTAAATGAGGATAAAAAGATTTTAAAAGAAAGCAAGCGCCTCTTGTGCGCCAACAGCAAGTAAATGTTACAAATCAAACAAGCAAAAAGTGGAGCAAATGTGAGGAATTTTAGGTAATAAAACCTCACAGAAATATTTACAGTGTGCAGGAATGTGCAAATATTGCTTCATGTAAGCAGACATTTAATAAATCTTTTCTACGTGTTGGTATCTTTTGCACTTCTCTTGCTGTTTGGTTGATTGCTGGAAGCGGTTCTACGTTTCCCAGAATTTAATTTGCACATCAGTGCAGGACACATTTCTTTACTCACTGTAACACTGCCAGAGTTTCATTAATAAATCATAAATCACTAAATTAAACTTAGGAAGGGTTTTACATTTATGAATTGCTGGTGCAACCCAGAGTCGATCTTTCCTCATTAAATGCAGCGTTAAGCTTTAGGTCTGTAGCGGTGACGGTTAGAATCAGAGGTTTGGAAATGTATTATGTCAGTGAAGGTCCTCATAAGAATAAAACTGCAAGAGTGTGTGAAGATGGAAAAAAAATCCAGCGTAACAAAGCCTCGTGTGTTTTCTTCTCTCTCTGCTCAATGTCTCAAAGCTCTTTTATAAACCACCTTTCCCCTCTGTCTCCGTTCGTCTCTCTGCAGCACAGTCCACTTCATCCTGTTTATCTTTTCCTCACTTTCTTCTTCACTTTGTCTTTTCTTCTTCTGCTGTAACTTTCCTTCGCTCTGAGCCACGGAGCAGCTGTTTGGCTGCATGTGTTCGTTTCCCCCCACAGGACGGAAAAAGGCTGTTGTCATCTTCTGTCATTTTAAACTGAATGGGTTGTTATTTACCAAATCGGCTCCTGTGCATGTTTGGGTGAAAGCTTGTGTGTCTCCGTTTGCTAATGTGACTTGACAGCATGTGTCCAGTTTTCCGTGAGGACAACATGGTACAATGCCGATGACGAGCCGCAGCAGGGGGTGCTGGGTAATGAGCTTGTTGACATGGCGATGATCAGACCCTTTGCTCCTCTAAGCTTTAGTTATCTTGGGATATGCCAGGTCAGCCGGAGATCTGACCTCTGCGAGCCAAAAACACGATAACTGAACGCTAACGCTCGACTACGCGGGACTGCAGAGGCACGAAAATGTGATTAGATTTAAGTTTATGAGCGCAATTCTTCATCTGATCAGTAGTTTGTGGCCACTGGACTGTTGGTTTCTGAACACACTGATTTTCATTTTCAAAGAGAACAGAAAAAAGCAGATGGTAAAACTTTAGACTTTGCTGCTGTTTTTGTCGTATTTATTGGTTAACTCTGTATTTTTAGGTTTTACTCTGACAAAAGATGACATTTGAAGACATCACCTTGAAATCTGAGCAACTATGACCAATTCACCATTTTAATCTTAATAGTGATGAAATTAATCAAACTGAGAAAATATTTAAAGACTAACAGAAATTGTAAAGATCCTAAAACAAGCTACAACACCCTGAAGAGAACAGGAAAATGAAACTGGAGGACGTTTTTGGACCATGCAGTGTGTTGAAAGGATACATTAATTTTCTGCAGAGTCATTTTTTTGTATGAAAAGAGAAGATAGTTAAAAGACTGACAGCTGGTGCATTTTTGAGGTCTGGATGGAAATGAAACTCACTTCATGTGCTCATCAATATAAATACTTTAAGCCTGTGATAGAAAATATGCTTCTTTGATAACTCAAAACACAAACCTGTGTACCTCCAACTCCCAAGGTTGTGCTGTGAAACATTAAACTAAAGGCGCCAGTGATTTCACAAGAAGTGACTAAATTGATGCCAAAATCCTGAAAACATGTCATTGCTTGTTGCTCGAGTAACAAAGGTACTGAAGATGGTGTAGGTGCTGGAGATACTGGTCAGTAATGATGACAGAAAGTGCAGGATGTGGTCAAACGATGTATGTGTTGTGTATGTCAGATAATCAGGGATAAGTTAAAGATGACTAAAAGCCAGAATGCAAACGTGCTCACAGGACATTTGGAGCAAACAGAACAAATGCCTCAAACTTAATGAAGCAGCTCAGAGACACAAATCGGATCTAAACACAGAATTCAAGGTGAGTAAATGTCATTTTATATTAACATGTCGTCACCACTGTCACATCCTGAATGACAGCAGCAGCTACAACAGTTGTTAAAACACTAACACAGTGTTCAGGCTAACATTTTGGTGTTCATGCAAAGACAACAATGCTGCTCATACCATTGAGGGATCACTACTGTCACTGTTCCGTCTGTCAACATTGTTTTATGTGTTCTAACCCAGTGTGTGCATCAACTTGTTAAAATAAAAGTTTAGACTGAAATGGACTGAAGTTCATGTGTATTGTTACAGACGACCTAATTTCTGGTATTAGGACTTTGTTGAAACGTGAATAAACATTCAGCAGTTAAAATCAGTTCATATTCTGAGTCAGGTTTGGATAAATTTGCTGTGTTGTCCAACTTTCAACACTGAAATGTTCATATTGTACAGTAGCTGTGGGTGTTTTCATCTCCAATAAGTTTGATTTTGTAAAACATAGAGCCAATTTCTCAGAAGAGAAAATAACAATAAAAAGTGATTGCCATATTGTGTTCCTGTGTTGACTGAGGATGTCGTTCAAAGACGACAATCCTGCTGTAAATCTGTACAGTCAGATAGTCAGCTTGACCTTCTGGAAACACTCCAACTCTCTTTAGATCAACACCATGTTTGTTTCAGAATGTGTTTACAGTCTTTATGCTAAGCCCGGCTAATCGTCTAAGACTTTGTTTTATGGAATCATTCGGGAGTGTTTGACGTGAGACGTAAAGAGCAACTTGCTTGTTACTTTGTGCAGGAGCACATGACTTCAGTCCAGGTGGCAGTTAAGCATCATGCATATGGTCCATTGTCACGGCAGATTAGCTTATTGTTTCTCTCGGTGCTGTTCCAATCCCAGTAATGGACTGCAGCTTAATCGGCTTGAACTTTCAAAACTACTTACCTCCCGCCGGCTGGACGCAACTGAAACCGATACCCTTCAAACAGCAGCCGTTGTGTGCATGTCTGTCTGTCTGTCTGTCCGCCAGTCAGTACATTCATTCACGCACAAGCCTTCCAGCAGCATTCACTGTTGTGTAGCCAGCATGAAGCAGTTACAGTGGACAAGGCAAACTTTTACAAGTCTGGATAATGGATGGACGGATGGGTGGATGGATGAATTAAATTAGGGGCCTGCATTAAAACGACTAAAAGCCTCTTTGTCTGCCGTATGAGCTTGTTATTTCTGGATTCAGAAACTGTTTTACGTCTCCTTCTGAAACCTTTTTCGGTCTGTTTTTCTTGCACACAATCATTATAAATCCAGACTGCAAACTGAGCAAACCATCCCTTCTTCTGTGCTTATTTCTGTCCTGACGTGGTGGATACGGTGCTCTTCCCAAGATTAGTTTTACTAGATAATATTTAATAGCAGAAAATAATATAGTCTGACATGTTGGTTGTGATCCAGGGAATCCAGAAAAGAAACTATTCTGAGCCTCATGTTTCAGAAGTCTGCTTTATATAAGGCCAAATTGTACCAAAAACAAATATCTTGTCCCTTTTCATTAGATTTAAATGAAATCACTTCTTTGTAGTCGTAGTGGTAGTTTTTTAGGATATCCTGATGACAAACTGCAGGTCTTAGAGACATGAAAGTCTCTGACGAGGGCTTGGAAGTTGGTGAAACCTTTAGAATTCCTATTTATTATGACAATCTAATGATGTTTTTGGTCAAATTCATGCAGAAACAGAGCAAATTCTTGCAGATTCACCAACTTTTAAACATTAAAGTTCACTACTTTCTGCTTACAATCCCACAATGCAATGAGTTCCAGCATGAGGATGCAAAACATACAGTTGTAGCAGCACTACGCCTCATGTCAGTGATTTATGAGTACATAAACTGCTGACTCTACAGTCTAGTATAGTGAATGAAAAAGAGTGAGTTTGGACACAGCCAAGATTTTTCTGGCACAGAAAAAAACTGACACCAACCCAAAAACATCTTACCTGCAGCAGGATCTTGTTTCCGTCGTAGTCCTCCGTCTGCCAGCGGACCTCGCTGATGGGGCTGCAGGGGTGAGGCAACAGAGGCACCAGCACTCCAACATCTCGTACCCTCACCTCCATCACCGCCGACTCCAGCACCACAGGACTCTGACCGCGTGGGAGCCTCTTAAACGACAGCTGGATCTCCATGTCAGGGTTGGAGTACACCACGAAGAAGCAAAAGTCCTCCTTCTTCTGCGCGACCCTCCGCTGAAGCAGCAGCTTGTACAGCCGCACCATGTCAGCATAATTTTCGTGACGGCAATAAACTGTAAATCGCACAATTTCCTTCCCATAGTGGACCTGCCGTACGGCCCAGAGCGGCGTCCCAGAAGACAGAGTGAAGAAGTCCTGACTGCATGGCGTCAGAGGCAGCATCCGGCGGCCATTGCTGACCTTCTCGGTGTGGTGGTAGCGCCAAGGCGGCCTCTGCAGAGCGCGGTGCAGCATCAGTATGTGCTCCTCACCACCGTACGCCTCCTGCAAGAAGAGGATGACCGCCAGAGCCGGCTGGCAACCTGCAACCGGGCTGCCATTTTGGTGGCGTTTGGGCCGAGACCGCTGGGAGACGGAAGCCCGTTCAGAGACTCTGAAGAGCTGCAGCTCAGGGTGAACCCAGGCCAGGACTGCATCAGCAGCTCGCTGCAGGAACTTTCCCTGGCCGGGGTCGGCGATGAGGTGGACGCTGACGAGGAATGGATCCTGGAGCTCGCCCATCGATAACTCACCTCCACCAGCAGACATGAAAGAGAGAAGAAGAGAGATTGAGGAAAAGATGGAAAAAAGAAGGAATAAAATGGGATGAGGAAGACATGGAGAACAGAAGATAAAAGTAGAATCAAGATTTTTGAAGTAGACAAGGTTACAGGTATACAAATGTGAAGTCAACCCTCTGAAGTTCAAGCGGTTTCTGGGCATTTTTTTGTTTGCTCCTGTCACATTTTTACTCACTGGTGGACTTATCTTTCACTGCAACATAAACCTCTGCACCTCTATGGACACAACAGAGAACTCAAAGCTGTCCTCTGTGCAGTATGACACAGCTATAATACCATTAATCATTACAAAAGAAAAAAGACTTTATTTATTTTAAATATAAAATCTGGAATCAACATGTACAACATCTTTTGAAGTTTTCCAAACTTGGTACCAATACAAAGACAAGGGGGCCTCCACATACTATAGATGTGTAATTATCTATATTTATGATCTGTTCGGGGGATTTTTTTTAAGAAACATGTAGAACAAAATGATTTTGATTTGATACCATGATTTAAAGCTTAGATTTGGTTCATTCTTGCAAGGGAACAACACATCACAGGAGAGTCGTTTACAGACTGAAACTTAAAGATCTGAGGATTCTGGCTCTGATACATGGTGTAAATGTGAAGATTTCTTCATTCAACGTTTTTCTTATGATTCCTGCCTTTTCTGCACACGGAAACTCGAGGCTGAATTGGGTAAAGAAACTGGTTAAAGTATGATTGAGGTTAAAGTAAAGGTTAGTTTAAGATAGTAATCAAGATTAAACATTAATTATAGGCCCATGACGGGACCACCTACGTCCTGCTACATGAAGGGCACTGTATTTTTTCTGCAAGTCGAGACTAGACATAAACCATACGTCGGATGAATGTGAGTGTAATTTCTGGGGATACTGGGGCTGTTTCTCTTTCCCTCCATCATTCTCCCTTGTTCTTTGTTTAAGTTTTCCCATCCTTTCCTTCTTCCCACAGATCGCTCTCTCCCAACTGTCTCCATTTCACTCATCCACGTCTAGCTCCATCTTTCTTCCAATTTCGATGTTTACCTTTCCCCCTCCTCCCCTCCAGCAGACCCATGTGGAGCAGGGCTCCTCTGCGGAGGCTCATTAGTGCCATTAGGAGTCATTACTGAAGCCCGGAGGAATGTTCCAGACCACAGCAGGAGCCATGCATTCAGGTGTAGCCTCTCCCTGAACCCCTGACCTGGAAAACCTCGGCACCGTGACACAGGTGCTCCTAAAACTGCGCTCATATTTAGGCAGTGTTTTCATTCCTGCATGTTACATGTACACACTCTTATCTCCATGTACACTCATTCTTTCTTTTCTGAGAACTTTTCCTACGGTCTTTATCTGACTTCTCGGGGGACTTGTCCCATTTCGTTTGTGCTGGTGGAAAGGACATACAGTCCACTTGTCCCTGGCACGGCAGAGTGTTTGGCTCTTGCCAGAGTCCCTCCATGAAACAGAGAAGCCAAACAGGGATGGGTTCTGTCTCATGAGTCCCGTTGGCCTTTGCGAAAGGACAGTTTCTATTTGACCAAAGAGGTGACATTTTCTAAATGTTAAGCTCAGCTTACAATGAAACATTTCTAAAAGGTGTCCATTAGAGGTGTAAGGACACAACAGACTGAAAATATTAAAGCTTTCATGAAAAAAAACTGTGCTGGCATGTGATTCTGCTAAAAGGTGTTTCGTATAATTTGTATAAAATGAAAATGTAAAGGCTTCTAAAAACTGACTTTTTTAGAAGCCTTTACATAAGAGTGTCCTCCCTTGTTAAATGTCTAAAGCGGTAGAACTGATGCCAACAAAACAAACTTGTATGATCCAGATTTTATGTTTTATGTCTGTTTGTGAGAAAATGTGTACATCAGCATTTTTAGGCTGCAGCTGAGACCATTTAAATCTCCCAGTGGTTGTGTGTTTATGAAAGTTTATTGCCTCCTCTTACTTCTAAATGGAAAATATGAGAACCTTTTGGAAGCTGAACCACTGAAATGTAAATAATAAAGCCATCACCCAAGTGCACAAGATAAAAACATTGCTAAATATCACACCTAGAGGTCATAAATGATACAGGCGTCACAGGGTGATGGTTAGAAGCTTAACCCAAAGGTTTTATGGGCTTTGATCGCCAGCCTATGCATCAGGAGCACCTGTTTTGTTGACCTTTTTGCAAGGAAAGACTCCTTACAGGATAAGTCCAGTATATTTCAACATGTTGTGTTTCTGGTTGGTACGGATCTATGGGTCACGCTGGCTTTGCACTGAAGCAATTCTGACCAATAAGGACACTGCAGAAAGTGTATACAAGAGCAAGTGTCTGTGACATGAATCATTTGACTGTAGTAAACAGAAATTTTCTGCCTAAAGTGGACATGTTGCTAACTGCATTCTTCACATTATAGCAAATGGGCTGAAATGACCTAGAATTATTCTTCAAGGGATTTGAAAGGATTCAATTTGCAGATTTGACATTTAACTCCAATTTGACAGAATGCAAATTAAACCCAAACCTCCTCGTGTGGCTCAGTTTGTCTGCAGAGATAAAAAAAACCAGCGGGATCAAGAGAGATCCAGTGCAGGTTTAAGCCTGACATCCAGGTCGCAGACATCCTGCCGCACAGGGAGCACAGCGCTCATTAACGTCTGCCTGATCCCATTAGAATCACTGTCCGTCTCCCTGACATGTAGCTGGCATCAAGACACCAAACAAAGGGATGATAGGGATCTTTAAGGGTATTTACTGTACAACACAATGTACTGTCCCAACAGGCAGCTTGATATCTTTACACTAGCTCCTGCTTCACACAGCTCCCACAGTGTTCGTTATCGGGAGTCAAAATGAAACGAGCCCATCAGAAGCAGAGATCTTTGTCTAAACTGTCTGATTGCTGCCTCTTTAGAAGAATACAGCAAACAGAGCAGCAAATAAGGAGATGTCATTGATTGCCTCCTGCCATGATTTTAAAAAAACCCTTTATCCTAACTCTTCCTTACTATCCAAACATCTCAGTATCTTGCGGTTACATTTCAACAACATTCCTTTCTTTTTGTCTTTTTTAAAGGTATTTATTTATCGCTTGTCTTAAATCTTTCCTCACCTCATGTCTCCTCATTTATCCAAAGTTCTCGGGAGTACGTATCTAAAATGATGCGGGGATTAAAGACGAATCTAAGTTTGGGTTTGAGGCCACGGACTGTCTCCGAGGCTCCCTGAGGGCCACACACACCGTGCTTATTTCTGTCTGATCGCATTAGAATCACTGTCTATCTTCTTTGCATCTAGCTGAGATCCAAACCACTGTTTGAAACACACGGATGACCAGGACACAATGGGATATTTAGAATCCTACACGGACACTCAAACCTGAAAGTTCATCCTTTTCTCTGCCTGCAAAACTTTGATCGGACATATAAAGACACACATGCATTTTGCGCACCCACTGATTTATGTTAGCTCAGCGTTAACAAATGCTGCCTCTGGTTTTGTTTTGATTATAGGAGTCGCAACGCAGATTTATTTTTTCATCTCAGTTCTCAAATCTCAAAGATCAGACATCATCACATACTTAGAAGCATGTCCTCTGTTTCTGTTACTTTTGCAGCTACAGCTAACAAGAAAGATCTACAACCTATCAGTGGCATGTGACCCAAATGTTAAGTTACTAGAAGCACTTCCGTCTCATTTATGGATGCATTTCTCTTTCCTTCCTCCTCCTCACATACTCTTGTGAATTACTCTACACATTTAAAAAAAATCTGAAAACTTTCTTGTGGCTCTACGTACCATAGATGTTTCACGACTAACATTTTTAACTTGTTTCCACATTTGTCTTCGATCTGCTCTTTGTAAACACAGCCTGCAGTTCAGCCCAGTCGAGCAGAAAAGTCCCTGAATTTTTGTCACATGACTGTCGGTCAAGTCAATTTCTCAGCTGTGCAGATAATTATCATGCCACTTTATTGTTTGTTGTTTTCATTTCTAATCCCCCAAACCATGACAGTGTTTTCAGCAGAATGGCAGCTTAAATATCAAATAAACGGAATTATTTGGGCTCCTTGGTGTTTCTGCTGTGGACTGCTCAGTTTAAAGGACACGAGGCAATAAATTCTATGGTTAGGAAGGTTTGAATGTTTAGCGTTTGTTCAAATTATATCGAGTGGTGTTGATTTAACTGAATAATTTGGATGTCGTTTGCAGTGCTGAACTCTAATGCAGTTTTTTGTGAATTTAATTTGCCATCGATGAAATAAACAGGTTGGACAGAACAACTGAAACGCCTCAGTTTAACATAATATGATCAACACTATGTTAGAAGATTTTAAAAGAAAGCTGACGTTATAACTGAGATGGAGGAAGATTTACTTGCAGTCCAGGTGGTTTTAAACTGGTGTACCTAATAAACTGAGCCTAAGTCTGCTTTAATTTCAATGTAGCGCATTAGGACCTGATACAACACGTGCCTGAACGCCTGAGTTTAGAGGTCAGCTTTGGTCTTAATAAGTTAATCCTGCCTTCCCCCAAACTGCAGCTTTCTCTTGTCAACACACAATCTCCTCATTTTTGCAGGAAAAGATTCTCACACATAGACAAACAAAAAGGAGTTGTTTTTTTTAATTCCTACATGGTGTAATGTTCTCAAAGGGACCAGCCTGAAGATGGCTGAGTCATTGGGGAAGATGCAAAGTCATCTGATATTGGACTATGTGTAAGAAGAGCATCAGCTCCTACACTGGTGATCTGATATAGATATATACAGCATGTAGCAGACATGTGGAGAGAAAACTGGGTCAGTAATGGTGAGAAATGCGTTGACCACATGGGCACATATGCTCTGAGCAGCGGATCCCCAGTTCAAATCCTCAGAGGGCATCTTACGTCTTAATAGGTTAATCCTGCTTCCCCAAACTGCAGCTTTCTAATGCCAGCTTCATTAAGAGGCCCTTATATCTTTCATT